TGACATCATCAAATACTTTGAAAAAATTCTATTATTTACTAAAGATGTTTTCTTCCTGCTTAATTGACCTAAAAGGTAGCAGATGCACTCAGCGCTGAGTAAAAGTATCTGGCTCCTATGATGTTTTGCGTTTTTCTTTTTTGTCAAACTCAAAAAGAGAACCCGACATAACACAGAATCCAGTTTTATTGATTAGAGGGGAAATCGCTGTCCAAGCACACCTGAACAAGTGTGTTCAGTTCCACGAGGGCCCAAAGAAAACCAGACCTGTAGAACCTGTCTGACAACCTGAAGCTAAAAGATCCCAAAAAGCAACAAATCATGATCTTTTCCAATCAAATTCAAGACGTGAAGAACTGGGAACAACAGTGTTTATAAGCCAGGAACCCTGTTCTGCAGAACCTGGAAGACCTGCTGTAACTAATGGAACCATGAATTCTGCTTTCTACCAGGAAGTCCTGTAGTAGAAAACCTGACCTTTGACCTTAAACAGGTCACTCATGCTATAAAACTATCCCAAAAGGCTGAATTGAAATGACATCTGTCCACAGTGATGACAGACCTATTGCCAGTTACCACAAACCCTCGACTGCAGTTGTTGCCTCTCAGCCCTTCTTTCCACTGCAGCTGAAACGTACCACGCTGCATTTAGCCGCCATTATAGGGGACGAGTTCCTGTCCACCAGCAGCCGTGAGCTCGCGGGCAACACACCGCTATACTTTTGCTTCTGGTGGAAAGGTCAGTAACAGTTTGACAGGAGGAGCCTTTTGCCCCCAAATGCATTTATTTTTCTCGGGTTGCCTTAGTTTGGTGTGAAAATCTCATTGCTGACTTAAAATAATGAGAAACTTGTTGGGTAAAGAACTTTTTCACAGCAATGCCTTTTCCCCTTTTAGTTTTTTTGTTTCCATCTTGCTCATTGCGACCTTTCTGAAGCACATGCCTAACCATATAAAGTACATCACAGCAAACGTCTGTGGTTTTGACTTTCACGAGTTTACAGGCTGATAAAGATGTTAAAATCTGTTAGAAATTTTAAACGCACCGAAAAATAATTTCTGAGGTCAAAGGTTAAGCTCTTGATCTGTGCAGAAAGATGCTTTGAGGGCTGGAGAAAAAAAATTATCGTTAACTGAATACATGTTTACATTCAACCTTACCTTTCTGCCAAGCACACACCCTTTGAAGTCGTGTTTGTTCGGAAACACTCCCATCTTACTGAGTCCAGGAAATTCCCCACCGTACTAGTGCCCAGATTAAAGGTAGTAATCCAGACTAACCCCAGAAATTCAAAGAACAGACTAAGAACTAATATTTGAGCTCATGTCTCACAAGTGAGCCTATTGTTAGTTTGTGACTCATAAAACGCGGGCTGTCAGCTGGGATCTGCTCGTGATCGATGGAGCGATTTAGAGTCTAACTGCTGATCTTTTACAAACAAAACGAACGCCGCCTGAAAGAGTTCTCATGTAACGCTCGACATGGCCGTCCGCGTGTGCAGGTTGACCAACATGCTCGACGTTGACGCTTCTTTAACCTCAAGCGATCAACACACAGGGAGTGTGTGGTCGTGTCTGTTGCATGGATGGCCTTGCTTTAAATCAGCCCACAGCTCCGTGGAAGATGGTTCCAGATCATTCCTCGGAACGCTGCTGTCAAAGACGGGTGTGGTGAATGGAATGGTTCTGCAGGGCCTCGGTGTTTGTTAGGCCTCTTGTCTCAGACACAGACCCTTCACAAGAACCAGAGCTTGCAGCGGACCATGTGTCTCAGCGTTAAAACATAACCTTACCAGAAAACAATCAGGCCCCCGGGGGGGTTCCACCCTCCCTGTTCTCTTCCCAAATCCAACAGAAAAGCCTGATTGTTCTCCACCGAGGAACCTGGGACTGAGACGTTTTTGGGAGTAGCGGTGAAGGGCAGCCGACTGTGGCGGGCTTTCCAGTACATTAGGAGTATATGAAAGAGCGACTGACCGGGCTTAGATTGATACGGCTGTGTCTGCACAGGACAACATATGGGAAAGCTGTAATCCACTCTCTGTGCTGGAACTGCGGGTGTTTGTCTTGGGGATTTGAGTATACGAGAGACAAATATGAATGGTTGTGCAGTCCTGGAAATGATGCAGACAGCTGCTGCTATTTCGGCGATGTGTGCCATGATAAATAATTGTTTCCTATTTGCAATAACCTCTTTTTGAATCTTAGCTTAAAAGACACAAACCGTGTTTTGGTGGTTGAGCACGTGTGCTGCGTTTGCTCCGTCTGTGGCATGCATGTAAAACACAGCGTCTTTCCCTCGTCGCTCGTTTCCTCACATGCATCTTTTATAGTAGTTTTAGCTCTTTCCGTGGCACCGTTTCAGGTTCTCCGTGTTTAATGTTAAATGTTTTATTCTTTTCTGAGATCATGACAAATCCACTTTTTGAAACTGAACCAGCATGGAGCACAAAGTAAACACGTCTATTCAAGATCAACAGCATGTACGGAACAAGTGAACACGAGACGCCGAGCCCTCTAATGTTGCGTTTTGTGCTCTGTTTTCCCTCCAAAAGCAGAAATGTGGTGCAGCTAGAAGGAAGAATTGTTTTGGGCAATAGAAACAAACGAGTGTTGAAAATGCTTCAGAGCCGTTTTCCACTGAAAAGGGTTGTGTTGACATGCTCGATTCACTCTCAGAATAAACGACGGGGACCAGACCTCGAGAGTAAATACGATAAACCAGCTGTGAACCTGCATATTCAAACCGCCACATTTGACTCTAAATCTCTTTTCACGGAGGAGATTGTGCACATTTTCATACCGTTTATTAATTCCAAATCCCATTTGCGGAAAATGAATGGAGGTGAGCATAATTTTGCGTTTTGTCGAGTGTGATCGCATTGAACTGGAAGACTGAATTGTGTGTATTTATGTGCGGCTTTTTCAGAAGTGGTGTCCTGGTTTTTAAATCCCCGAGTCTCAAGTGGGCACATCACAAAACCAACACAGCAAAGCTGGCAGTCTTTGCTAGTCTGAGGCCCAGAATTTAATGAGCATGAATAATGAATACTACTCAACCACTGGTGACTGAGCAGGCTGCCAGTTATTAGGTCAATGAAGGCCTTGTTTAGCAGGGAACGCTCACTGTCTCACTGACTGATTGGACTCCCACCATCCACAGATCCTACCAGGTGGAAACAACTTTTTTAATGTGGTAATTCATCAAAAAGTGACTGACAATTCAAATGAAATCGTGTTCCATGGAGTTATGATCGAATGTGCGGAAAGTTGAATTTAGCTTGTGTGGAAATGTGAGGATGCCTAATTCTCGTCTGAGGTAAACTCAGCTAACATCCTAATATAAAACAGCACTGTTTCATTTCCTTCCTCTGCTGTATCTTCATGTAAAATGGCACGTCTTGATTCAGCTGAATCCACAACGTGTTGTCCTTTTTGTTAGAGATCCACGCGTTATCCGAGCTAGAGACTATGTAGGAAAAACACCAAACTCAAGTCATCTGGTCCTGCGGTGTCGACTCCCAAACAAGAACTGCGTTGCTGGTTGCAGTTTAAAGGATAAAGAGAGTGAAAGGAGAGCAAAGATCGGAGCAATGACGGGAAAAGAGTGGAGCGTGAGAGCACCCACCGAGATCCACAGCGTGCAGATCAAATGCTCTAAATCAGTCAATCAACACAGCTGTCATATCAACAACCGCAACACGGAACAATGAGATGATTAATTATTGACAATCTTTGTCTTTGTTGCTCTCCCACATCTTCTCCCTGTCTGTCTGTCTCAGCATCTTTCCGTTCCCCTCACCTCTTTTCCTTCACTGAGATTAGACGGCAGCTCCAACATGAAAGCTGCCGACCTGTGTTTGGGTCTGTCACAGGTGATTTTGCTGCCAGTGTGGCGGCTCCTCCTCTCAACGGGAAATCCTCTCCTGTGTCCCTGCCCATCCTTCCTGTCCTCTCTCTCCCTCTCTCTCTGCTTCTACGGCACCTGCTAGGTCGCCACGGGGACCCCTCAAATCTCCACTCATCCTCTGGCTCAACCAGGGTGTCGATGCTATCCAGCCCATGGCTTCGTGTGAAGAGCAGGAGTGAGACCCCTCGCTGTCAAACACTCCACAAGTTAACCGGGGTCTCTCTTCCCCCTCCGTCCTTCCTATCTCTGATCCTCCTGCTAACAGACACTTTTACTTTGCGTGAGGAAATGAAAAACTGTGAGTATTTATGTTTATTCCAGCGAGCGCACCTCAATATAAGCCGCACCAACAAAAAAAGGTTTTCTACACACACACGCCGCACTCGAATACAAGCCGCGGCCAGCAGCCACATGCAGGTCTCCGGCGCACAGCGCATGTACGGCCATTACATAAGATAATTAGACAGAAAGACGCTACATGGAGGTTTTGCGTTGTTGTTTAAATTCAACTAAACAAATTTTAAACGCGGGTGAACGTGCCTGCAAGTTTAGAAAACGGCACTGATAGCATTCAAATTTCTGGATATTTATAAAATAAAAACAGAACTGACACGTTATTACCGGTAATTTGCTTGCATGTTTAGAAGAAAAGAACAGCGCTGACACAGCATCAATAAGCCCCGGATGATTAGAAAATGAAAACTGCACACAAAGCATGCCTGGTTAGTAAATAAAACACACTTGCCTACCAGAAAAAGTCATTCGCTCTCATCTTCCTCTTGCGCACTAAAGCCATTTAAGTTCTCTTCTTCAGTGTCGGAGTTGAACAGCCTCAGAAGAGCTTCGTCACATACCTTTTCTGTGGCGATGTCAGTGTCGCTGTCATCATCCCCGGGTGAAGCTGGCTTGAATGAGTTCTTCCCGCTGCCGTCTCCATTGCTGAACCATGGATTCATTCATGCCAAGCTTACGTGCGGCAGCACTGTTTCCCTCCTTTACTGCCAGATCGATGGCCTTCAACTTAAATGCAGCAACATATGAACTCATGCGTGTAGTTACCATGATGAGGGGGTATGGATCTGAAACAAAGGCTGTGTCTCAATTCAGGGTCTGCATCCTACCTCGGCCGGATTCGTCGGCCGGTTACGTCACAGCGCCGCGACTCGGCCTGTCCCAATTCGAAGACTCCTTCAAATGCGGTCGACGAATGCGGCCTTCTTTTCGCCTGAATGAAGGATGGGTCGGGTGTATCCTTCAATAGGTAGCATTTCCCAAGATGCCTTGCGGGCCGGCCGGCCGAAAAACTTAAAAACAATGGCGGACAGTGAAGCGGGAGCTGTCGGAGAGGATTGCGCATATAAATGTAAGTATAAACTTGAAAACTGTCAGTTTAAGGACTTTTTGTGATACATGAACGTTATTTTAGTTAGAAATGTTACAGTAAAAGTGCTTGTATTGCGGTCTCGGCTCGTATGTTCGGCCGCGCTCGGTGTCGTACTTCTCCCACTACGTTTCCCCCTGATTTTAATAGAAGTTTGTATTTTAGGACCGAAAGAGAAAACCAGGGAATTTATTAAGCTTAGGGCGGAGATGGACCACATGATCACCGGAGCAAAGTATTCGGCGGCTGTGGCATGGAGGTACAATAACATCTCATATTTTAAAAACTCGTTTGAGTATATTTTTTTCTGCGAAAACATGAAAGGAATAACCCGTTGTCCTCTTTTCTCTTCCTGTTTCTTTTCTTACATGTTTGTTAAGACTATTCTGGAGAAAATGGGCATCCAGGGGAAGGTGCCAGCGATGAGCTTCTGGAGCTGATCTGGGAGGACATGAGGCTGCAGAGCAGCAGAGAGCACAGGAGAGAAGGAAGAACTTTGACAGCTTTTTACTTTGCTAGAAAAAAATGGTTAATGAAGATTAAACATGTACATGTAAAAGAAATATCTAAATAAAATCAGTTCTGCATTAAACTCTTGAATTTTATTTTTGTTTACAAATGAGAATTGTTTACTAGAGGGTATCCGCTGGGTCTTGAAAAGTTTTAAAAGGTAATAAATCGGTTTTGGTCAAATTAAGACCCTTAGAAAGTATTAAAAACTATTATCACATCTTTGCTCAGGCTCAGCTAGTCTAAAGTATTTTCTCTGAATTAGCTCTCCAACAGTCAAGGAAATGATTAACCCCCAGAGACCCACGGTTGTAGTATCACAACATCAGATTTAAGTCTACAAAAATAAACCTTCCCCATTTTTTTTCTTTTTAAAACCACATTTACATTGCTAATAGGTCCTATTCAGTTCTGCAACACTATTGGCTGTTAAAATGTGTAAATAGGCCCGTTTATCTGGCCTCCTAGAACAACATGTGAAAGGTTAAAAATATTTTGCAGTTGTTTTCTAAATTTGGGTTTCTGGGGGTTAAAAAGCTAAATAAAACGTCGAGCTCCATCGTTTAAGGTTCCTTCTGCCCAGCGGTTCCACGGTTGCTAGGCGACGGAACGTTCGCCGAGGGAGTTCATGAAGGCTAGGCCTGTCCAAATTCACAGCCGTTAACATCCGGTCTACCCGGCCAACGGAGGACGCAGCCCACGTCGGCCGGGTGGGCTGGGTCCTTCGAAGGATGCAGACCCTGAATTGAGACACAGCCAAATTCTTCGTCGTGCGGGCTGCTTGCATGTGCTAAATTAAAATGAACACTTTCTTCGATTTCCACTTTTGACTTCCACCTGTTTCACTTTCTGCTAAAGCGCCCCCTGCAGGTGAAGGAAAATCTTCAGTAAAGCCGCACCTCATTATAAGCCACACGGTTCAAAGCGTGGGGAAAAAGCAGCGGCTTATTGTCCGTAAAATACGGTATGTGTAGTGACTATAAAAATAGTGACTGTTTTGGTATCTTTATATCTAATTGTGGATTTTTTGTAGAAATTATTCAAATGTTTTCTGTGCTCTGAAGGAAACAATCCCATAATAGAAAAAACATCCCAGCTCTAAATGGAGTAAACAAGAAGAACACAAAATGCTAAACTGCTTTATTCATCTTTCCTTGTGCAGTTTTAAATAAACAATACATTTTAATCAACAACTGTGGTGATTTTTTTTCCTGCAGAAAAAAGCACAAATTGCAGTGTTTGCCATGTTTTTCACTGATACATGACATCCTGTCACAAACATGGTGCCGTGTACCCTGGTGGAACAGCGTCCCATCCAGGTATCAGCCCCTTTCCTGTCTGAGGCCATATGTTTCTGCTTTTTCTGCAAGTAAAATCACATTTGCAACAACCACCGGTGGTTGTTTACAGAAGTTAAAGCTCCTTTGATACATCCCTGCTTATGTTTGCATGCTTTTTGGCCCCATAGATAATACATGAGCTTGCTCGCTTTTTCATTTTTTTCCCCTTTCCCTTAACGAAGGGGAGATGCTGCCATATGCATGAAAGAATAAACGAAGACCTGAACTGACAGCACCATCTGCCAAACACAGTTGACGTCAGAAGAATGGCCCCCACTCAACATTTTGCCCGACTCTCAGGAGGATGCCACATTGTCATCAGTGCTAATACTAAATATTAATAATATGTTGACCCCAAAGTGTTTAGAAATCACTGATGCAGACACATATTGCCCTTCTGAATGACATATGCAGATGTCAGGTGAGCACCACTGGACCGGGCTGCTCAGCGTGCACACACACGAACATGCGGCGTGGTGTTCTCCAGGAGCTCAGAGACAACACAACTTCCTCTTGGACTGTCATGAATATTGCATTATCCCACATACCTTCACAGTTCCTTTTTTGTGACTCTTTCAGACGCTTACGTTCACACCAAATCACTAGAGACTAACTGAAGGTGCAGAAAACAACGATTATCGCAGTGAAGACTAGAACCGCCACCAAACCGTCACCACTAGAACGGTCCTAAGCCAAAATTTAAAGACTGCATTTATAGGTAAACAATTCACCTTTTACATTTATAATTTCAGATAGTATTTAATTAGCTAAATAATGTTATTTTTTCCATAAAAAAAACAACTATCAAACTCTGGTCATTTTTTATGCCTCTGTGTCATTTTCTCTCTCTCCCTCGTGTCTGTTTAGTAGAACCGAAAGCAAAACTTGTCGTTTTTTTAACACCTTAGTGTGAAAACTGAAATGCACCTTCAGCCTTCATTAACGTTTACAGGAGTGGAACCAGACCAAAGCCCCAGGTTTGTCAGCTCCATTTTTCTTTTCTAAGTCCAACAGACCGGACCGGCACTCTGAAGTTGCAAATGCGGTGTTCTGGCCACAGAGGGCGGTGGGGGTCTGAATGACATTGCATTAACCCTGTGAAGGGTCATTTTAGCACATACTGGCTCAAGAAAAATATTTGAAAATATGAAAAAGTTGCAAAGTATCCCTCTAGACATGACAATTGCTAAACAGTCAGAATGACTGCCATGGCGGTTCTAGTGTTAACTTACCCCAGTCCAACATTTACTTAGAAAAAATGCACCTAACAATGATAGAAGTGCCTCTATGCTTACTTTTGCAACTGTAAACATTTGCAGTCAATCTTACAGTTTTTCTGAGGTTTTTGCACATGAAATATAAATGTGCATTTACACATCCAGTTATGAAAACGCACTGACATCTGTAAGAGTTGCTGATGGACTTTTCAGACCTGACACACACTATCTCTCCAGACACTGGATGTATTTCACCTTGGCATCTGCTGCGATCGCTTCTGTTTTCCTCCCATACATCTTTATTGGTTTGTAACTGATGGGGACACCGCGGGATGTCACTTGATGAGAGGCACCGTGTCAGTGAGACTGATTTATTTCCCAGCATTTGCTCCGCTGTCGTGCCAACTGACCCAGTCCGGCCCGCCTCCCGCCCCGGCTGGCCACGCTCACGGGCCCCAACAGCCTCAACAGCTCTGCTTACCCTCAGAATAGGACTCATCCCACCAGTGTGCAGTAACTTTAGATGTAAAACACGACCCCCTCGAGTAGTTTCACAGGTATCTGACTGAATTTCGCTGGAGCTGCGAATGGATGAAGCAATGACTGATTTTACATGCCATCAGCTTAATCCAGTTTCTGCTGATGTTTGGTCGATGAGTTATTGCTGCACGAACAACCCAGCACATTCACTTTAATCCTCAGATCACAAGTCGGTTTATTTGGATGGCGCGTTTAAGATGTTTGACGAAACAGTAAAAATAAAAGGTAATATTTCAATGTAATTGGCCTGGACAGCACTGGAAACGTGTTCTTAAGTTACTAAAGTCTTCCTGTAACCGATGAGCAAATGGAATATTCCACCACATGCTACAGACGAAAGAACAACACACACATTTATTATAAGAAAATATAAAAATGAATAAAAAAATAATTCAGGAAACAACATTCCATAAACCCCAACCCTAACATAAAACACAAACAAATAAAAAGTGGGTAAAACCTCCAATTTAACTGAACAGGTGTTGTTTTTTGTCATGTTGTAATGGTTTCTTACGGTGAGGGTTTTCGTATTTTCTGAACTGCTCTTGTGTTTGCTCAGATGAGCAGTGTTTGTTTGGTTGTTAAACTTTTGTTTAGATGTTTAGATAAGAGATTTTTTCTGTTTGTTTTGTTTATTTTTAGGTTCCTCTGCACAGGTTTCTGAAATAATGTGTTTCTGTTACAGTAAATGTTTTTGTTTGTAAAATATGTTTGTGCTGTTTTATGCGCATCCTTGTTCAAACTCTTCTGTTGCTATTTTCTACAGTTTTCTTCAGTATTTTTGCTTGTTCTCTCACAACGTGGCTGTGTTTTAGAAAAAGAAACTGTTTTGTTTTTTTTCTGTTTCACTGCAGCTTTTTCCTAAAACACACATTTTTTTTTTGACGTCGTAGTTTTCTGAACAGTTGTTTTGTTATTTTTTTCTAAAATGCTTTTCTATTTTTCCTCTTCCTTTTCTAAATGTTTGTGCTGCAAGAGTGAATTTCCCCACTGTGGGAATAATAGTCTATTTTATTCTATTATTTTCCATCAGTTTTAAAATGTTAAACATTATTTTTTAAAGTAAAGCAACACTGTTTTTTATGCATTGCATTTCAGCATCTTTGTAATCCCGAAAACCTCCACAGCCGGACTATCTGACACCCTCGGTGGCATCTGACCGAATCTTCCTTTATACAGGGTATCCGCGGGTCCTTAAAAAGTCTTAAAAAGTCTTAAATTGGCTTTTCCAAATTTAAGGCCTTAAAAATCCTTAAAAATGACAAATAATCCTTAAATAGTTTCCAGAGGTCTTAAATTACCAAAGACCCAATAAGCAAGATTCTTTTATTTCTATAAAATTTTCGTGAATTTCTAGTTGGTGTTCAGCATTTTTTGTGTATGATGTTGGCGTAAGTGGAGCCGTTCACATGCAGTTGGTTGTGAAAGGGGGCTATTTTTAGATGAGCACATTAGCTGGTTAAGCTAGTGGGAGCTTGCGCCATGGGGAAGTGCAAGTTTAATGGCAACTGGATGGCTAATCCCACGTTCGCGACGTGGTTAGCACCGTTTCCAGGCAATAGCTGGAAATTATAGCTTAAATGTAATTCTAAAAATAGCTTAAATTTGGTCAAAGTGGCCTTAAAAAAGGTCTTAAAAAGTCTTAAATTTGGCTCCCTTAAACCTGCAGATACCCTGTTTATAGCATAAATAGAAACCATCAGAACTCTAGAAGTGTTTGACACGAGTTGTCGGAGCGCTGTGGCAGTTGCGTTCAGTCTGCCGCTCAGGAAGCAGCCCAGTTAACATAAGCTTCCTAAGCGTTTCTACTGAGCTCCCATTGATTGCAGCCACTCACGTGGCTGAAATGCATTCGCTGGCAGACGGCAGTGGCAGACACAAAAGCATGGACGGGTGTCAGCTTTTAATTGTAACTGTCTTGCAGAATGGGTGTTGTTTTAATATCCTGTATAGATTTTTATGTAATACACTTACTTGTGCAAGGC